AAAAAAAAAAAAAAGAAAAGTTGGATTTGGTGGTGCACACCTGTAGTTCCAGCTATTCTGGAGGCTCACTAGAGCCGGGGTGGCAGGTGCAGTGAGTTTGCAGTGAGCTGAGATCACGGCCACTGCACTCCATCCTGGGTGACAGAGTGGCACCTAGTCTCAAAACAAAAAGTAGGAGAGGGGAGAAAATTTGTTGTGTCAGCAAAGAAATGAAGAAAGGGACATTATTAGAGTTGAGAAAGAAATTAGAATATGATTTGGTACCTTTCCCACAGAAGATAAGTTTGCTAACGTGCTGAAATTAGAAGCATTATATAAGGCCCGGTGTAATCATAGCACTTTGGGAAGACCTCGGATGTGCCTGAGCCCAGGAGTTGGGGACCAGACTGGGCAACATAACTAAACCCTTTCTCTACAAAAAATACAAAAATTAGCTAGGCCCTTCGGATGTGACAACTGATTGTGCCGCAGAGACACAACCCTAGTGGCTTAGGACTCGGGAAAAGTATAATCTCCCCGGTTTATCTAGGGATCGATAATGCACCAACACTTTAAAAGCTGGAGCAGGCGGCCGGGCTCGGTGGCTCATGCCTGTAATCTTAGCACTTTGGGAGGCCAAGGCGGGCAGATCACGAGGTCAGCTGATCGAGACCATCCTGGCCAACAAAGTGAAACCTCTGTCCCTACTAAAATACAAAACATTAGCCGGGCAGGGTGGAGCGAGCCTGTATTCCCAGCTACTCGGGAGGCTGAGGCAGGGGAATCGCTCGAACCCAGGAGGCGGAGGTTGCAGTGAGCCGAGATCGCGCCACTGCACTCCTGCCTGGCGACAGAGCAAGACTCGTGTCTCAGAGAAGAAAAAAAAAACCTGAAGCAGGCGTCCCTCAGTGGGCTCTAACCACCAACCTTTGGATTAACAGCCGAACGCGCTAACCGATTGTGCCACAGAGACACGTAGTTTACCTCCTTCTGGGCGCTATAGGAAGGGTGCACTCACCAAACACTCCCCAACCCTTCCATCCTCAGAGCCCACCACACAGTACAACTGTGCAAGGAATTGGAAAACTGGAGAGATTAGAGCGGTGAATCGTGTTGGTCTCGCCGGAGACCCGCAGGTTGGGAGATTCTGGAACCAGGACGACCTTGCCCCTCGCCTGCTTCAGAAGCCCCTGGAAAAGCCCCGGCCCGCGACCCGGACCTGAGCCCCGCGACCCGGATCTGAGCCGCCTGGGGGCCCAAGAGACGCTGAACGCCCCGTGGACTCCCAGGATGGTTCTTTGTGCCGCCTTCACCCAGTGAGGGAGCCTGTGCCCACCCTGCCCAGTCGCCTTTAAGGCCGCTGCGGAGCTTCCGCTGCCGTCTTCGTATCCTGTGTCCCGCACGGGGGCTCCACCGGGGTAGGAATGGTGGTGAGCGTGGCTCGTGGGGCCCCTCGCGTGGAGCAGGGTCTGGCCCTCACCAGGGCGCACGACTAGGACTTGTTGAATGAATCTATCGTCGCCTTTAGCTTTTAGTCCTTTGAAGAGCCCTGAAAATGGAAATCATGAAATATTTTACCATGGGGAAGTTTTGATTTGTTTTTTGTTTTGTTTTGTTTTGTTTTTTGAGACAGGGTCTCGCTTGGTCGCCCAGGCTGGAGTGCAGTGGTACAAACACGGCTCACTGCAGCCTCGACCTCCCAAGGCCATCGTCGCCTTTAGCTTTTAGTCCCTTGAAGAACCCCAAGAATAGAAATCATGAGATTTTTCCATGGGGAAGTTCTTTTTACAAAGCGTTTATTCACATTGATTTCTCGGCATCCCCCGGAGAGGGCAATGGGCAGGGCCTCCAGTGCACCTTCTGCGGCGGTGGAGCCGCAGGGGCTCAGCTGGGCGGTGGCCGGGTTGTAGGGCAGGAGGATAGGAGCGGGGGAAGGGAAAAGCAAAAGCAGGGAAAGAAGCTGAGAGCGGTGGAACAGACATCCAGACCTCCTGAAAGGCTCGTGCAGCACAGGCTGGATCTTCTGGAGGTGAGAATAGTTTTTTGTTGCTGTTGTTGAAGCAGAATGGGGAGGAACTGAGGGGAAAATTGAGAGAGAACATGAAAGAGCTCCAAACGCGAGGACCTGTAACTCCCCAAGAATAACATCTTCCAGAAGAACTAGACAGAAAACTACGAGTCTGGGAACCCTGAAATCCCTGGAGGAGTAGCATCATCATGACCCTCTGTGTTCCTCTTGGCAAAAGGACTTGCTTCCTTTGTTTGTACAATTGTTTGTGTTTGTTAAATAAATAAAACCCTTTTCATATATCTTTGAAAGGACATTGGCTCTATTATTTTATGATTACAAACAATGCTGCAGTCGTCATTCTTGTACACTTCTCATTGGCCACTGGTGTATTTCTATAGGGTAGAGGCCTGGAGAGCAGTTGCTCCAGCGTAGTGATTACATGGTTTTTATATCGTTCTATTTTCTTTCCTTTGTTGGCTTATTAGCTATAACTCTCTTTCTTCTGGTCCACCACTCTCCAACTTCTTTCCCTGCTTTTGCTTTTCAGTGACAGCTTTAGGGTTTCCAGAATACATCTTCATCCATGCCATCTAGTGACATTCTACCTCCCCTTCTGGCCATTATGCTAGTGTTGTCATGTAATTTGATTTTAGACATGTTATAAGCCCCAGAATTCATTGTTGTTGCTTTTGTTTAATTGATCAAATTATTTTAAAATATTTAAATAATAAGAACATATATATTTAACTATGTGCATACCGATTTCCAGTAGTCTCCATTTCTTTGTGTAGATCCAGATTCTGTCTGGTATCCTTATCCTTAGGCCGGGAGAACTCCTTTTGCATTTCTTGTAGCGTGAGTTGCTGAATTATTTCATTTTTTTATATGTCTTTAAATGTCCTTATTTCTGTCACATTCTTGAAAGATTTTTCATTTTGGCATAGAATTCTAGGAAAACTTTATTTCTTTCAGTACTTTAGGATGTTGGCACTTTGTTTTTGTAAAACTGGCATAAAGTGGGCTTCCTGTACTTGTTATATAATTTTTGGAATGTGTATTTAAATTAAAAACATTAAAATGGGCTGGACGAGGTGGTGCACGCCTGTAGTCCCAGCACTTTGGGAAGGGGAGACAGGAGGATTGCTTGAGGCCCACAGTTGGAGACCAGTGTGGGCAAGATAGCAAGACCCTGTCTCTCTGTCTCTCATATATATGTGAATGTCTCATACATATATCGTGAATGTCCTAGATTCATCTTAAGTTCCACCAACAGTGCACTTGAAGTAAAATGTGCCCAACCTGAGGGTCAAACCTACCTGCTGACATGTAATTTGTGTTTGTGAGACATTCTCAACAGCATTTGTTTTACCTAGCATAGTGGTTTTCAAGTTTTCATCACACTTGAATGTCTTAAGTGCAAAACTTGTCAGAATTCATTTCCTTTGCCAAAAAATTCTAAAATACTTTTTTTTTTTTTTTGAGATCAGTTCACTGCAACTTCCACTTCCCATGTTCACAGGATTCTTCTGCCTCAGCCTCACGAGTAGCTGGGACTACAGGCCTGCAACAACACACCCGGCTAATTTTTGTATTTTTAGTAGAGACGGAGTTTCACCATATTGGCCAGGCTGGTCTCAAAGTCCTGATCTTAAGTAATCTGCCCACCTCGGCCTCCCAAAGTGTTGGGATTACAAGCACGAGCCACCGCGCCGGGCCTAAAATACTCTTACTTCAAGTAAAGTGCATTAAAAACAAACTTCTCAGTTGCATCCCTGGAATCCATAGAAAGCCCGGGAGAGACAATCAAGTGCTACAGGATAAAACACTATCACCATGTTGGCCAGGCTGTTCTCGAACTCCTGACCTCGGGCTCCCAAAGTGCTAGAATTACAGGCATGAGCCACCGCACCCAGCCCAACCAAGATTATTAAACCATTCTAATTTGTCAAAAGAGTCACACTGATTTTTAAAAAAATAATGTAATGGGCTGGGTGCGGTGGCTCCCGCCTGTAATCCCAGCACTTTGGGAAGCCATAGCAGGTGGATCACAAGGTCAGGAGTTCGAGACCAGCCTGACCAACATGGTGAAACCCTGTGTCTACTAAAAATACAAAAATTAGCCAGGCGTGGTGGTATGTGCCTGTAATCCCAGCTACTCGGGAGACTGAGGCAGCAGAATTGCTTGAACCCGGGAGGCAGAGGTTGCAGCGAGCTGAGATTGTACCACTGCACTCCAGCCTAGGCGACAGAGTGAGACTCCGTCTCAAAATAAAGAAATAAATAAAATAATAACATAATGAACGTTTTCATCGTTTATATATATTAAATATTTACATTATTTAAATTGTTCAAAAGCATCAAAGATTCCTCTCTGCTATCAACTTGATTTCATTTATTTTATTGTACCAAACTATCAAGACCATTCATTTAATCTACAGTTAAATCTATTATTTTTTCATGTTAGAAATTCAACAAGAAAATTTTTCCCTAATGAAACCTCACATTTCAAGCATAAGTAGGCTGGGCAAGGTGGCTCACACCTGTAATCCCAGCACTTCAGGAGGCCGAGACAGGTGCATCACTTGAGGTCAGGAGTTTGAGACCAGCCTGGCAAACATGGTGAAACCCTGTCTCTACTAAAACTATAAAAATTAGCTGGGCGTGTTGGCGTTCGCCCGTAATCCCAGCTACTCTGGAGGCTGAGGCAGGGAAATAGCTTCAACCTGGGAGGCGTAGCTTGCAGTGAGCTGAGATCCCACCACTGCACTCCAGCCTGGGCTACAGAGCAAGACTCTGTCTCAAAAATGAATAAATAAATAAGCATAAGCAGTAAAAAATAAAATAAAATAAAATAAAAAATAAGGCACAGTGTCTTGCTCTGTTATCCAGGCTAGAGTGCAGCAGGGCAATCATAGCTGACCAACTTGGAACTTCCGGACTCAGGAGATCCTCCTGGCTCAGCTTGCCTTGTTTATTTTTACAGATGGGGTCTTGCCCTGTTGCCCAGGCTTGTCTCCAACTGCTGGCCTAAAGCAATCCTTCCGCCTCAGCCTGATGAGTTGCTGGGAGTACAGGCACAAGACATGCAGCCTAGCATTGTAGTAAAACAATTTTCAACAAATTCTTTTTTTTTTTTTTTGAGTTAGGAGTCTCACTCTGTCACCCAGGCTGGAGGGCAGTGGTGCAATCATAGTTCACTGCAGCGTGCCTCAGTCTCTCTAGTAGCTGAGATTACAGTCATGCAGTATCATGCCTGGCCAACTTTAAAATATTAGTTAATACTTAAAAATTTGTAGAAGCCAGGCACAGTGGCTCACCCTATAATCCCAGAACTTTGGGAGGCCGAGGTGGGCAGATCATGAGGTCAGGAGATCGAGACCATCCTGGCTAACACGGTGAAACCCCACCTCTACTAAAAATACAAAAAATTAGCCGGACGTGGTGGCACATGCCTGTAGTCCCAGCTACTTGGGAGGCTGAGGCAGGAGAATCGCTTGAACCTGGGAGGCAGAGGTTGCAGTGAGCCAAAATCGCGCCACTGCACTCCAGCCTGGGAAACACAGCGAGACTCTATCTCAAAAAAAAAAAAAAAAAAATTTGTAGAGACAGGGGTTTCACTATGTTGCCCAGGCTGGTCTCCAACTCCTAACCTCAACTGATCCTCCCTCCTCAGCCTCCTAAAGTGCTGGGATTGCAGATATGAGCCACCATACCTGGCTTAATTTTCTTATTTTAATTTATATAAGTGATTATTATTGTTCCTAAGATAATTGGGGCAGTGACTCCTTTAAAATTTTAGAGACCTAATTTGTCTATTCACTTCACTGAAAGAGTATGACAGTTTGTTTCATGAGAAAATATCCTATATTTATAAAGAAGGAAAATTCCTTCCACCAAACTAGGGGGCATTCTAAAGAAATGAATTGTGCTAAGTAAGGTGAAAACAGAGGCAATGGTATCTATTAACTATGTTTATCAGTGAAGGAAATAAACTGAAAATATTAACATCATTAGATCCTTGGAGGCCTTCATCGCTGAAAATCTGAGTAATATTGTGATACCCTTTTGAGTCCGGCAGGACATTCTCTTTCCAGGGCATAGAACAGTGGGTAAATAATTTCTTTTCATTCATTTTCATTAAGGGATGAACTTCCTTAATGTTCTGGAGATTATTACATTTGATTTGTATAGTTGTGAAAAGTGCTCATATTGCTGATTCCATTGCTTATATGTGATCATATAAATCTTTTCTCTCCTTTCTGTAGTGTGGTTCAGACTTAATCCTTAAAGGACATGTATTTGAATTTTTCAGCTGGTTAGAAACCTGAATATACCAATCAAGGAAAACTGCTCCTTACATGCTACAGATTTAGTTTTCTTCCTGGACTAAGATGCCTTTTAGATATAGTAAATTTGTCAAAGCCAGGAGCTCCTATGGAACGAAGTTGGGTGGGAGGGGGGACATTGAGTAGTAAGATCACTCTTGTAATAGAGATGCCACTCTTGTGATATTGACAACTACTGGGCTCATAAAATTTTTACCAGACATTTGAAAGACAAGATACGAACAACTTATCATTGCTGCAGTCTCAAATATCAGGAAATACCATTATTCTCAGGACAATAATTAGACAATAAAAGAGACTCACAGAGCAGATTAGCTGTCATGTATCACCAAACAGGGACTGGATCCTTGTCAACAACACCCATCAGAGATTGTCCCCAGAAATTCACTTCATAACATCAAAACCAAAAACCCACACTAATGGCAAAAAATAATGATGCAATAATGAGAGAGAGAGAGAGAGAGACCTGTCCTATAGCCATACTTAGTGAGTAAAAGCCAAAGAGCTCAATTTCTGCTCTTGATACTTAATAGAACAGAGGGAACATGAGCCAATCGCTCAGTGGGTCCAGATCTGCACTAAGTGCCTGTTGGATGCAGGATTCTACCGTCTCCAGTAATATGTCTCAGATGGGCTAGATTTTTGTTCTATTTTGTTTGTTTTGTTTTGTTTTTGCTTTTGTTTTTTTGTTTTTGAAGCAGAGTCTCGCTCTGTTGCCCAGGCTGGGGTGCAATGGCACGATCTCGGCTCACTGCAACCTCCGCTTCCTGGGTTCAAGCGATTCTCCTGGCAGCCTCCCGAGTAGCTGGGATTACAGACACACACCACCACGCCCGGCTTTTTATTTTTCAGTAGAGGACGGAGTTTCACCCAGTGTTGGTCGAGGTCTGCGGTCTGGAGACTTTCCTGAGCCTCAGTTGATCAGAAGTAGGTTGAGGTCAGAAAACATACCTGGGAGAGCTGCAGCAATGGGCAGAACCGCCAGTCGCTAGCCTGGGTTTTCTTCCGGTAGTGCCGATTACTAGTATCAGCGTAGTACAGGGAACAAACCAAATTAATATTTCGGTGGGGATGTGTTAAAAAAGAGATGGAAGTTTACAGGTGTATTTGAGAAGGGGTATTAAAGGAGATTTGCCCGCAGGTGTACGCTGACACGTGGTCAGGCTGTAAACCGCACGGGTATGAGAGAGAGCGTAGCTATCTTTCTGTGTTCATTGAGGTGATCAGCCGGGGGCGCTGCAAGATAAGAGGGAAGGGGGAGACTGCGGCCCGAGGAAATAGGAAAGGGTGCGGTGCGGTGAGTACGAAGGCATGTAGTGGGAGTGTGCTATCGCTGAAAGCTGTCTGGAATGGATGTAGGAGTGTGGAAGCGAGACATCAACACAGAAGCTGTCGCCTAAATAAAGACTGAGAAAGATGCAGATACTCCTAAACGGCAGGAGACACAAGGAAACCTGGACCCGGCTCCTCAATAAATTTCCCGCCTTATATTTCAGGAGGATCGCCGGCATATTTTGGCCAACGACAGGTCGAGTGGTGAGGCCTGCGGGTCGCTCGATGATCATGGTTTAGGGGCAGCCTGGGCGCAGGAGGCCGTTCCCCTACGCAAAAGTAAGCGAGTTAGTTACAACAAACGGCACTAAGAGTCCCAAAAGACCGTCTTTTCTGTCCCGAATAACAGCGCCGTGCTGGCGTAGTTTGTACCCTGGTCTACGAGGGTGAGAACCACGATTCCCGCTTCGCACAGAAACTCCGACAACTCCTGACGGGCTGCTGGCTTGAGAAGCGGAGGGGCTGTGTAAAGGTGAAATTGGGGGCTAGGG